AGCGAGAGCACAAGCCCAAGAACCCGAATTTGTTACAATATTATAAATATTATATTCCGTATTGCATTTAAATTGGAATGTTTTTACAAATATAAGAAGAAACAATACACAACGTGTAAATATAACCCTTTTCCCTAAATCATGAAACCATCACTTATATTAATTCATCCAGATACACACACTCACACCGTAGCCAAAAAGCTGTAATAGTGGACTATTTTTATATATCCTTCTATGTAAGAAACAAAGTAATTGCCTGATCGGGCTTTAAACCGCCCGGGTGCAGCGCACTACATGACAGTCCACTGCCTATTACCGCTATAAGGACAATAATATTTCTAAATATATTCCAATGTCAAATGTTTCCAAAATGCCCCCCCCCCCCAGATATTTTAGCTGTTAGTTACATGACTCCATATTAATATTACTATGAAGAGATATTAAATCAGTACAACTTTTATGAAATTCAAGTATTTTTAGCATTAAATTAAAAAGTTAAAATCTTAAAGTAGTTTTTAACTATCTAAAGCTGTTTTTTACAGCTTTTAAAGTCATACAATGTTTGAGTTAGGCAGGAACACATCATTGTATCTTATTTTTTATTTGGTTTTTCAAAATAAAAAAAAATGTTTGGCCATCATGTTGATAAGCTGTTCCCCAATTACTGAAAATTGTAAAAAATAATCATTCCCCCCTCCCTCATTTAATTTAAAGATTTCCATGAAGAAATCCTTAAGCACAAAACCATTGCGTATAATAATTCATCTAGCTTGTTCCCTGTTGAATGACGCTGACAGACCGGGTTCAATTCCAGGCTGTGTACTCTATAGTACAGTTTAAACTTTTTTTTTTTGTTCCACATTAAATTGTTGTCTGCTGACATTTGGATTAAGACAAAATATAGATTTTCTCAATTCGGATGTAAACCTGAAATTTACTATACCTTGAAACAACCACACGCTACTATTCATAAGTATTTTTTCAAAAATAGACAAGTAATAAGCTACATTAATAAAATAATTTCACTGGAACAAAAACACAAACTACACACAAATACTCAGTTCAATATTCCATTTTAAAGACATATGTTTTTGATTTTCTTTAAAAATCAATAATACCACAATATGGAACCATACATTATAAAATTACTCTTTAGAAACATACTAAGTATGGGTCAAGACTTTAGAAGTGGGCAGTATCCATAAGTCATGTACCATATCACACATATAACTAAACATGGGGTGAATTAGTTCTGATTCTATAAATTGCTTGTTTTACCTGTCTTTGATGCCACAGAGGTCGATCCGTAAGTCACTATAATTTCCCAATAGTCCTTGCTGCACGTGGAGTAAATTCATTGGCTGGTTGTTGATGAAAATCAGACGCATACAGCCCTGAAACACCTGTGTTGGGTTTTTACAGCCAAGTTCATTCAGGGTATTAGGGCAACCTGTGAAGAAAGAAACAATATTCTCTGAAAAAATGTTGTTTCCATTAACAACAAATTTACATTTTAAATCAAACTGAAACTTACAAAGACTGATGGGTCACCATTCTACAAAGTTTAAATTTAAGAGGTATTAAAATCACAATTAAAGGTGAAGGATTCACTATTTCTATGTTGGCAATTGAATGCAAGTAGTCCAGACTTTCCATTCCATCATCCATTATAAAAAATATAGTAAAACAGAAACATGGAGCACAGCAGAACTGCAGGCTGGACAGGACACAGGAGCCATGCTTAATTTAGAGACCAATAAACCTACTTGGAATTACATATAAACTTAAATATTTGACTAATCAAAGATAAGATTAGATTAGATTATATAGACACCAGATTTAACACCATGTCCATGAAGTGGAAAATTAAGTGGATTAATTTAGAACTCTCCCAGAGGGCAATGTTTATATGACATCTATCAGGCAAAATGCCCTGGCACTCTTCATATACTTGGGTAATTTTCCTGATTTGAAATGCAAAACTAGTTTTAAAGACTTTTATAAATTCCATCCATTTTCTACGACATGTAAGATACTTTCTGATTGTCCTGCTCATTGGGTTTCATATGGACAGAATATTGGTATAGTGATAACAGCAAAAGAACAACAAATCTACAACAAATAGGATCTTTTTGTTATGTTCAATGCTATTAACTATATGAAAAGTGTATGTTTGTATTAATGTACAAGTATCAAAATGTGAAACATTTTTCTAAGATATTTTTAAAAGTATGCCCAAAGATAAGTTTAACAAAAGCACATTTAAAAAAATGTTTATTTCCCCATTTTCTTAGCCATTTTAAATTTCATTTTGTTTGTTTGCTTTTTACAAAAAATATGTCATTTTAAAGATTAGATTAGTTATTTGCCAGATTCTGCATTTCCACTCAAGTGCTCAATTTTTATGCTTTTTTCACATATACTTTGTCATAAAATATCCATGGTAGCATTTCTCTACTTACACCCACAGCCACTCTATCCAGTATATTCCTTACACCGATAAATATCCTCAAAAGGGAATCAAAACAACTATATTAATACATCTTTATTGCTCCTCTATAAATTCTGTAATGACATCCATTCATATAGCAATCAATCACTTTTAAGAGTGGTAAAATTGGAATTTCATTATTTAGTATATTTAAGAATTCTGGCTCAAGATTTAAATTCTCAAGATTTAATATAAACAAGTCTAAGTACACCATTTATAGATCCTGTATTTCAAAACTGACAGTCAAAAAATGTTCCGTGAAAAGCCAGGGGGGAATTACGATTACAGATATGGATGGTACTTAAAGAATTCTTACCTCCAAAGAAGTAGTTGTCTCCAGAGTCAATCTGGGCATTGACTTCCATCATAGATGAGGGCTCATTGTCAAGAGCCAAAGATATTTGAAGTCCCCTAGTGCTGAGACTCACTGTGTGCCAGAGCCCATCATTAAGACTATGACCTACAAAACAAAACAGAATCTGGGTCATTATACATTTCAGGAAAGAGATCATTTAGAAACATTTATTATGCTTTGTACAGTAACATGAAAAAGCTACAGTAAAAGCTTGGATTAAAGGTGGGGTATATCTATGACAGTTCCAATAACAAAGACATTAGTTCTGTCATGATGCAAGTAGGAAAATGTTCATTTTCTGTCTTCAAACATTGGAGATTTTAAACTTAAACAAAACCTCATCACTAGGTTTAAATTATAAATTTGCCCATATTATAAATATGAATTTCATATCTCTGAAATTCTAGTTTGAGAACACTAGAGAATTAAGCAGATCTAAGATAACTGTGATATTACTAAACTTAAACATTAAAGTGTTTCCATCCATCATTTAATAGAAAGCCACTTTTTCTACACAGAGTAAAAGGCTAAACTCTCAGTAGTACATGAAGCGAATACAATGCAGGGCAACGCAGATATACATAAGAACAAAGAAACAATTTGAAGACACCAATTAACCTATCTTGTATGCCTTTATGAGGTGGAAATAAACTAGGGCACCTGGAGAAAAAGGGGGAGTATGCAAATTACACAAAAAAACAGCATGGAATGAAAATTAGATCTTAAGAGCTATGCGACACAATCATGTAAACGACTTTTGTAGTTAAGTCACAAAATTAAACATTAATTTTACGGGGTTTTATTTAATACACTAAAATAATCTTATTATACTGCAGAGTAAAAGATTATATTACTAGTTTTTTTATTTACCAGTGGAGATTTCTGCCTTGTGAAGCATGGATTTCTGATAAGTGAGCCTCAGTTTGCCATTAATGAGGAAGAGCAGTAAGCTTTCTGTCTCCTGTGAAAGCTTTGTGTACAAAAGGAGACCATCTTTGTTCCAGGTGCGGAACTGGAAGCGCACAGAAAGGCCATCACCTAATGAATCAGCTGGTAGCAACAAGTAACTGTTTGTAGAACTAAGGAATGTTGTAGCAATCAAATGAGGGTCCGAGCAGGAGAAAGTCACATTACCCTGGGAACAACAAAGTAAAAAAATCTCTTTGAGTTATGTTCTGTTTACACAATATATCTTACATTTTCTACTGTTTTACTATTTTCTGGCCTTCTCTATCTCTGTTAATCTAGCATAAACACTATACCAGCACATAACAACATTAACATTTAGGACACAGAAACTACAAGTTATTTTACAATTAATATACAAATTAAAATTAAACCCTGGTACCTGAGGCTAAAAGCTGAACATTTTGTTGTTATCATCCTATGAAAATGAGAATGAGAGAATGAGATTTTGACACAACAGTTTCTCAATTAACAGACAGAATGCTTTCGTGAAAAATCCTGTGTAATTCCAAAACAACTAAATAAAAAACAAATTCGTCATAAGAATTGATGTAAATGGGGGAATGTGTCCCAAGTTCCCTTCTCACTAGTGGGTTAAAGTCCCAGATTAAAAGATTGACTTTTATTCATGTAAGATGTTTATATACTGAAGTTGTTGTGAAAGTCATTTTTTAAAACACATCTTTGTTAATGTATATAAACATTGACAACGACTATTTCCTAGAATGTTTTTTACTATATAGGTGATCCTCTAGTTCTTATCATATTTACCATTACCTTAAATGTAAATGTTCAGTTTTCACATATTTTTTATAAATGGGTACCACATTACCAATTCTCTAATCCCTGGTGTAACAATGTGGGAGTGGTAGGAGCCATGGTTAACACTGGTATGAGTCGACACCCCATCTAAGAGGGCGGAGGCACCAGTGTGAGGCTAGCGTACCCCCCCCCCCAAAAGACAAAATGGGAATAACCAAAAGGAAAAAATGCCCACTTTGCACATTAGCATCCAGGCTGGACTGTCCCAATTTTGCAGGGTTCTGCCTGGGGAAAAAGAACAGCTTGGGACAGTGGTATCAACTGGACTTTACCCTATCTAATGGGGTCCAGTCTGAAGAAATTAAGGCCAAAAAGAAAAAGAACTCAACCTGTGCCAGTGGGAGATACATGGTGGGACAGGAGAAAAAAAATAATAAATGAAAGAAAAACGCAGCCTCAAACATACTCTTCACAACCCCTCCAGGACTGTCACTGGATGGTTCTCCCCTTGCGGGGGTCTGCTTGTCCCTCCAGGGCCCTAACAGGCCCTTTAAAGCCCTTACAGCAGCAACTTGTCCTTACGTAGCCAAGACAGCTGTGGTTGCTAAAGCAATGCATTGCCCTTAATCTGGGGCTCTGTCTCCAGATTTCAACATTTCCTTGAGTACGATTGATAAGCTACTATCAGGCCCTGGATATTTATTATTACTGAGTGCTTCTAGTACCCAAAATACTTCTCCTTATTCTAAACTAATATTATATATAGAACTTTGTCCTTAACTGCCTGATGTTGACTTTTTTTCTTAGTGAATACTTCAGGGAAATACTTGTTTAGTACAGTATGTCAGCCTTTTCCCTTTTATTGTCTACCCATTTACTTTTTTGTTATGGATAATCCATGGTGTTTTTTTTTACTGTTGTAGCACTAAATGAACTACACCTGGCACTCCCCCCTTTTAAATGGTTATCTTTCCCTTCTCCCAGTACATATAGTAGCATTCGATAATGTTACATTACTCATGATCATTTTTACCTTTTGGATGTAATTCCAGTGACATTTTAACTGTGTGCTAAACTCTATTTTCATTATCAAAATAATTAATGCACAGTGAAGAAAAATAGTATAAAGGTAACAGATTCTCTGGGCTTATGTTGTATTTGTTATGCTGCAGTTGGTCATAAACTGTGCAGCAGCATGATGGTTGATCAAAGCCCAAGTGCACTTTTCAGTGCACAGTTTAAGATGATAGATTTCAGGATCAGGAGATTCAGTAAGAAATGATGCAGGCTGGAATCTGGTCAGTTTTTAAAAGACTGTCTAAGGAAAAAGTAAAAAATAAAATTCCAAGAAAAGAAAAATTGGGAAACCAAAAAGGGAGTGAAAAAAATTATTAATTATTAATCATGAAAAAAAGAGAAAAAATAATTATGAAACAGATTGCAGGAAAGTAGGCAAATCTAACTTGTTTCAGATTTAACACACTTAAAATCTTCATCACAATGCAACAACCTATTTATGCAATACAATGCTATGCTGTTGCTTGTTTTCTGAATTGAGCAGACACATTTGTCTAAATTGTTACCCAAGGTCCAACAAACAGGAAGGGTAGCAGATAAGAATAAACAAATACCAGGTTTTTCTTCTTTTCTTTCATTTGGGTTTAGCCCATTATTGCACTGAATCATGACATAGTATACAAAGAAGTTAATGCTGTACTGCCATCTAGTCAGGAACAAAAGGCATGTTTTGAGAGTACAGTAAATTATTATAGATATGATATGGTTATAGCTGTGATAGAAGGCTTGAGTGCTTTACATATGCAATTATAAATCATTTAAAGTGAACTTGTTAAAAAGTACAAAAACCCTACAATGTACTTTGGAGACCAAAGCATGAATTTTAAAAAGGAACCAATTACTACAGTATTGTTCTGAAAGTATTTTTTAAACAATGTGCCATCTTATAGACATGCAACTTTGCCCATTGTACTCTGAAAAAGACTTTATTTGACCACTAAGAATCTGCATGTATATTGGTCTGAATTGTGTACGTCTGAACCTATACTGTAAAAGTCAGCCTGAAATCAGTATGCCAGATCTACAAGGCTCCCTCCTGGCATTTACACTTTTACAAAAGAGAAGCTAGGAAGTGTCAAGCTCTACATTGCTTAGAGTACAATTGGAAGACAGCGGACAAGCACAGAATGTCAACTGTATTCATAAAGGCCATCTGTACAATTATAGACATGACTTAGATGCAATACACTATGGTAGCTACAAAATGGTCACTGTTTTTCATATTTTACTACAATCAGAAAGGATGTGAGAATGACTTGTACATGTCCTTGCTTCACAGTCATCAAGAATGATTCAAGCATTCTATACAACACTCCACAATCAGAAAGATTGTGGCCATTAGAGGTGTAATGGGGAACAATCAGTTTGGACAGTTTGTAATGGATATATATTTGAACGTGATACAGCAGACTCTGTTACAGGGGAAAATGTCTGGTATGGATGGTTGCTGTGGGCAGTTTAGGGAGCTGTGAACAAGATTGGGTAGTTGCTGATATGTGGGGGGGTCTGGAAAGAAAAAAATATATGCTGCCACTACTATATCCTGCTAGTGTCTACAACTGGAAACATACAACATGAAAGCAAGCATGACAACAAAATTCAAAATTGGCAGATCTGTAAATATCAAAAATAAATCATTTTGTCTTAAATAAGCCTCTGTGTACGCTACACAGCCATCATTTTCTCTTTCCAGCTTCTTCTGTCATATTTCACAGGGTACATTATGATGGGGTAATCTTGAGTTAAGAGCCTGCTCAGAGCCCATATCATGCCTGATAAGCTCAATAATGAAGTCTTCTGCCAATAGCCATTATCCAATCTATTTAGTGTGCTGTGGGTCAGGTAGTCTAACAGGCAAAGAAACATTAAAATATTATGTGTAGCCTCTTTCCAGGAGATACCATATGCCTTTCACATGGTGGCTTATAAGAAAGATTAAAGCTGCATGTGACTCCTATATACAACATATGCCCAGAGAATCTGTTATCTCTGCAATATTTCCTTCCTGTGCTAGAACTGGTCGTTCTGAAGCATACAAATTGTATTGCTGTCATAAACAAAATTTCTCAAAGAAAAGGACTTTAAAGTGGCAAGAGAAAATTCTTATTCTTACTTTTAGATTCTTATTATGTTCAACTTATTTCAACATGAAACCTTGCTAAATATTTTAAATTACTTTGAGAGTAATTAATTTATTTTACAAGACTTATATATTATTGTATTGCATTATATAGTCCCATTTAATTATAGATACGTTAAAGTATTTGGAGACTACAATTATGTCTTTTCCCCTATTTATGGACCACAAAATTATCAACCATTCTTGCCAAATATGAAGAATCAAACAAAACATTAAAATAATCTTAATACATATAAATTATCCCTGGAGTTTTGTACATCACATTATTTAGAAACATATTTTTAAATCACTACAGTAAAATAAATGTACACCATAAAGTCTAGATTTTTTAATCATCTAACTATAGGGTCCTAAACTAAGAGGGAGTTAGCAGACAACATAATCTCACTTAGCAGTATCTAACCCCAATATCCTCTTAGGTTTTTGTTACAGCATGTTCCTGTCTATAAGAGATATTCTTGTTTTCAGCACAGAGAGAAATGATTCTGGTGAGAGACTTTCTACTTCACTAGCTTCCACTAATTGAGCACAAAAAGGCTCTTGAGAACCCATCCATAAAAACAGACAGAGGCAATCTGTAATTGTAAAATGAATCTGGTGGCAACTCGGTTAAAATTCTCTAAAGACTGAAGTGGTAGGAAAAGAGATTTTGCCTTAACTTAAAATGAGTTCTTGTCTTTATCCCTTCCATTTAGGTATTAAACCAAGTGTGGCCCTATTTATCCATTAAATCCAGGCTTTGAAAACTAGGAAGGGAGCACAAATTATTTATGTAGTAGTTCAGGTGGCTAGCTGCGTTAGCATGCGTAGGCTGCAAAGGAACAATAGGTTTATTCCATCCTGTAAAAAAGAAAGAAGAAAACACAACGTTTCGGCAGTGGAGCCTTCTTCAGGTGTGAGGATTATTTATCAAATTATTTATTTCATTTCAGAACTTTGACCTTCATGACTTCTAAGCTTTCCTGCTTCACATACTGTACAGCAATGTAATAGGTACAAACCTACTATATATCCTGGTTTCCCCGTGCAGGTTGTATTTTATTTCTCTTGCATATTGTGACTGTACTTTCCAAACAACAAAATAAAACAATAGTCTCCTATTGTCTCCTCTATCCTTAGCACACCGATGATACTCCTGTTCTTTACCTCTCAACAGTTCTTTGTAATCTTACAGACATGGAAGCAATGGT